CCATCCTGCATGTTTTGGTTGTTTTCCTGCTCCAACACACATGATTCAGTGATTTAATTACTTCCTCATGTTCTGCAAAAGCCTGTTAATCACCCATAAATTAAAATCAGGTGTGCCAGAGCAGCGAAACAACGGATGGTGTTCCTCAAGGACCAGGGTTGGGAACCCCTGGATTCGAGTGTGACACCACGAGATGAAAATATTGAACCTCTTTACAATATTCTCATTTTCTGAGACACTAAACTTTGTTTTTTCATTATCTTTAGGCCATAATCATCAAAACTACAAGAAATAAAGGCTTGAAATATTTTGCTCTATGTGCAACGAATTATATACCAAATAAACAAAAAAATGAACGCATTTTTGTTTTTGCTCTTATTTTTCATGAGCTGAAGTCGAACACTTTTTCTTCTGACACAAAAGGCCTTTTTCTTTCAAATAACATTCATAAATGTGTGTAAATCTGTAGCAGTGACCACTTCTTTATTGAGATCATCCATCCACCTCACAGGTGAGCCTTAGGCTGACCACAATAAAAGGCCACAGCAAAAAGAGCAGTTTTATCACAATGCCACAAGATCGGAGGGAACGTTCAAGTTGGCCTTTTTTCATATTCAGCTACTTTTTAATTTTATGTCAATTTCAGCCTTTCTTGTTTTTTCAGTTACTACTTTGGTATTTTGATGCTTATTTCAACCTTTTGTGATTTTTTTTTAAATATAATTTCAACTTTTCTTTATATCCTTTAAGCTTCTTTTTGCTAAATTCAATATTTTCAGCCTTATTTTTAGATACTTTTGCTAATGTTTAGTTTTTGTGCTTCTCTCAAAAAAGTGTTACTTTATGCTAATTTCAGGTTGTTGTTTTTTTTTACTTTTTCCAAATACTTTTTTTGCTCGGGGAGTGGTGGCGCAGAGGTTAGAGAAGATGGGCAAAGATCGGAAGATCGCCGGTTGAAGCCCCGGTGCCGACAACATCAAAAATGTGGGTGGGGCAGGTGAAGCACCCACACCTGCCCCCACGCTCATTCGTCCCACTCTGGGCCGTTGAGCAAGGCACTTAACCCCCACCATCTGCTCCTCCAGGTGTCCTAGATCTCAGCTCTCTGCTCCACACAGAGGGCTGTGGTAGCTCGGTGTCTGTGGTTGCGTCAGGAAGAACATCCGGCGTAAAAATAACTGCCACGTCTTCGTGCGAGTTAGTTCACTGTGGCTCCCCTAACGCAGGGAGCAGCCGAAAGAAGAAGAAGAAAAGAAAAAATGCTTTTTTTGCTCATTTAAGTTTCTTTTTTTTTTTTACTTATTTGAGGTTGTTTTTTTTTTGTCTATTCAGACTTTCTGCCTATTTCAGCTTTTTCTGCTGTTATTTTCCTGCTTTTAGCAAATGTCAGCTGTTCAATTTCAGCTCTCGTCAAACAGTCCAGCAGTGAAAACTTTTCAGCTGTTTTAAGTTGGTTTCAGCTGTTTTCAGGTGGTTTCAGCTGTTTTCAGCTAATTTCAGATGGTTTCAGCCGTTTTCAGATGGTTTCTGATGGTTTCAAATGGTTTCTGCTGGTTTCAGGTGGTTTAGCTGGTCTTAGATGTTTTAGCTGGTTTTCGCTGGTTTCAAGTGTTTTTAGCTGGTTTCAGCTTGTTTCAGCTGGCTTTAGCTGTTTTGAAGTGTTTCAGTTGGTTTCAGCTGTTCTGAGGTTGTTTCAGCTGTTTCCATGTGGTTTCAAATGTTTTCAGCTGGTTTCCGGTGTTTTCAGGTGTTTTCAGCTGGTTTCAGTTGGCTTTAGCCATTTTGAGGTGGTTTCAGC